GATAATGATTTAACATCTAATTTAAATTTTTGTTTTCCTCTCTGAAGGTTTTTATGTAGGCCAAGTACATTCCTTGAAGAATGTACTAATTGGTGAGGCCAAGACTTAGTCACAGAAATAATTTTTCATTTTGTCCTGAGATAGTACAGTGATTCTGGCATCTCCTCATTTGACTTAATTAAAATGTTCAGTCTTTTGAAATATGTTCACACAAACTCAACTTTCAAATATGAAGGGAAAATTTTTGCTTAAGATATAACACAGGCCACATGAAACAAACGCAGCAGTAATGATGCCATGTCTTAAAGAATGCATCTGAATACAGTTTCTTATGAGAGTTTACATTTGAATTCAGATTTGCACAACAGAGGGAGTCTAATCTGAATTTTGAAAATTCCAAAGAAACCCATATCATACCTGGCACACGTGGAAGTTGGGAAATTGAAAGAGAAGACAGAAGATTTAGTGCATTCGAATTATGTTATTGGACAAATATCATGAACATACGGTGAACTTTCCTAAGAAAGAACAAATCAGTCTTAGAAATGCACTCCGAATGCCCTGCAGAAGAACAAGAATGGTAAGACTTTACATTTCTCATTTTTCCATGTAGTCAAAAGTAATTGACAGCAAAGGACATCTTTGGTAGAGGGTCAGCGGAAGCAGGAAAACTCTTAATGAGATCCTTTTATATATATATGAAGAACTCAAATATACCAACAATCATGAAAATGCCTGTGGACCTTTGCTATACTGGTACTCTGAGGTCTCTGTGAGTTGGAGCCAACTTGACAATCAACAAGTAATACCCATATTTTTATCAAGCAAGAATAATTATTTAGTGCATAAAATATGGCATCCATAGAGTATGTGTTTTCGTATGGCTGCAATGTTTTTTCAATTAAAATTATTCATATATATATGCCCTGGTGGCATAGTGGTGATGCACTCATTGGGCTGCTAATCATAAGGTTAACAGTTTGATACTGCTGGCTACTCCAAGGGAGAAAGAAGAGACTTTCTATTCTCTTAAAGGTTAAAGTCTCAAAACCCAAAGGGGCAGTTCTTTGTGTCCTATGGGGTCACCGTAAGTCAGAATTGACTCAATGACAGTGGGTTTTATGGAGTACGCATTTTAATGAAGAAAACATGCAAACTCGCAATACCTTAACAAAATCAATATCCCTATTCTTGGTTGTTGTTCTTCTTAGGTACCGTCGAGTTGATTCCTACCATAGTCACCCTATAAATAACAAGGAAATGTTGTCCAGTCCTGTACCATCTCACAATTGTTCCTATCCTTGAGCCAACTGTTGCTGCAACCGTGCCATCGTTCTCCTTGAAAGGATTCCTCTTTTTCGATGCCCCTCCATTTTACCAAGCACCCTGTCCTTCTGCAGGAACTGGTATCTCCTGATGGTAAGTCCAAAGTATATACCATGAAACCTTGCCATCCTTGCCTCTAAGGAGCACTTGACCATACTTCAAGACAGATCAATTGTCCTTTTAGCAGTCCGTGGTATTTTCAATGTTCGTGGGCAGCATCACAATTCAAATACATCAATTATTCTTTGATCTTCTGTACTTGTTACAACTTTCACATTCATTTTGGGCCATTGCAAATACCATGGCTTTACCCAGGCCCATCTTTGTCCTCAAAGTAACGTCCTTGCTTTTCAGTATTTGAAAGAGGTCTTGTGCGCAGATTTACCTAATGCAATTGGTCTTTTGGTCATTTCACCCCTGTGTCCATGAGCAATCAGTATGGATCCAAGCAAGACAAAATCATTGACCGCTTCAACCTTTTCTCCTTTATCATGATGTTACCTGTTGGTTTAGCTGTGAGGTTTATTGTCTTCTTGATATTGAGACGTCATCCATAACAAGGCTGCAGTCCTTCATCTTCATCAGCAAATACTTCAAGTCTTCCTCACTTTCAGCAAGCAAGATTATGTCTCCTGTATATCACACTTGTTTATAAGCCTTCCTTCAATCCTGGTGCTACATTCTTCCTCATATTAGCCAAAGTATCTGATGATTTCCTCAACACACAGTTTTAATAAATATGGTAAGAGGATACAACTCTGACTCATACCTTTTCTAATTTGAAAGTATGCAGTATTCCTTTTTCTGTTTGTGCAACTGCCTCTTGATCCATGTACAAGTTCCTCATAAGCATAATTAAGTGCCCTGGAATTCCAATTCTTCTCAAGCTTCTCCACATTTCATTATGGTCCACTCAGTCTAATACCTTTGCATAGTTAATGAAACACAAGTAAACTCCTTCTGGGATTCTCTGCTTTGAGCCAATATCCATATGGCATCAGTGATGATAGCCCTTGCTCCATGTCCTCTTCTGAATTTGTCTTCAACTGCAGGGAGTTTCCTGTGAACACATACTGCAACCTGTATTGGATAATCTTCAGCAAAAAGTATTTTACCTGCATGTGATATTGTTCTGTAGTTTGAGCATTGTATTGGGTCACCTTTCCTTGGAATGGGTACAAATATGAATCCCTTCCAGTCAGTTGGCCAAGTAGTTGTCTTCCAGATTTCCTGGCATAGATGAAGTGCTTCCAGTTCTTCATGAGTTTGTTGAAACACTTTAAATGATATTTCATCAATTCCTGGAATCTTGTTTTTGACTAATGCTTTCAGCGCAGCTTGAACTTCTTGCTTAACCACCATTGATTCTTCTCTATATGATACCTCATGAACTGGTGGAATGTAGACTCGTTCTTTTTGGTATAGTGACTCTGTATATTATTTCCTTCTTCCTTGGATGCTTGCTGCATTATTCAGTATTTTGCCCATAGAGCCTTTCTAGATTGAACATCAACACTTGAATTTTCTTGCATTCTTTCGGTTTCAGATAAGCTGAGAATGTTCTTTCTTTTTTGGATTTCCAAATCTAGGTCTTTGCACATTTCACTTGCATATTTTCACTCGAGACAACTTTGTCTTCTTGAGCTGAACTTTAAATCATCTGTTCATCTAACTTTGTACTTTCTTTTGCTGCTCTAAGATTTAGAGTACGTTTCAGAGCCTCTTCTCTTTCATTTCTGTATTTTTAATGATCTTTAATTTTCATCCTGATGTCCTCCCACAGCTCATCAAGTCTGCGATTGTAAGGATTCAATGCCTCAACTCTGTTCTTGTGATGTTCTCAAAATTCAGGTGGGATAAATTCAAGGTTGTATTTTTGCTCTCGCTGACTAGTTTATTTTCATTCTCTTCAGCTTTAACCTTAACTTGCATATAAGCAATTGATGGTCTGTCCCTTACCTGTCCCCTGGTTTTACCTGCTGATATTGAGTTCTCCATCTTCTCTCGCACAGATGTATTCAATTTGATTTCTATGTATTTCACCCAGACAAGTCTACGTGTATTATTTTCTTTTGGATTGCTGGAAAAAAAAAGTGTTTGCTGTGGCCAAATAATTGGTCTTAAAATTTTTTATAATATGATCTCCAGCTTTGTTTCTATCATCAAGTCTATATTTTCTGACTACTATTCCTGCCTGTTTGCATACCAATAGCCCATAATTAGCAATGCATTTTGATCGCATGTTTGATCAATTTTTGACTGAAGAAGTTGGTAAAATTCTTCAATTTTTTAATCATCAGCTTTTGTAGCTGGTGATCAAATTGAGATGATAGTTGTATTGAATGGATTGCCTTGCATACATATACATATATATTAAGAGAATTTAACCTAAGACAACATCTTCTACTCTTCGATAAAACTAAATTTATCAGAAGTTTATTTTATGAACTAGGAATAAACTTCTATTTGTTTAAGTAATCATAATTGTTGGGGTCGATTTAGAGATCTTAGTACTTCTCTGGTCACTACAATTGGGGGTATGCAGCTAAGGGGAGGATCCATATTTCTCTCTTCGAAGACAAAACTATCAGTGCCTTTCCCCTCAAGTGAGCCCATCACTCCCGACTTCATTGTAAAACCAAGCTCCAGTTAAGCTTATATGTATAAGACCCTAAAAACAATAGCTGTAATCCCTCCCAATACATCTAAAATGCTAATTGAGCATTCAATTCTGTAGGTTTAACTCTTTTCAACTGATAACTCCTTTAATGAAAAACTACTGTAGCGAGCATTTAAAAAACAGAATGATTTAGTTGACTAACAGCCTCTAATATTGCTTTCCTACGTCTGCAGATTCAGTTCTGTCTACAGCAGTCAGGACTAATATTATCTTAGTTGTTTTGGCAACCAATATGTATCCATTTGATTATAATTAAAGGCCTAAAGAATGGCATGCTGCTTCCGCAATTTAAAGAATGTCTGATCTTTTGCCAACAATAACACTGTCTTATAATTATGCCCAGTATCTGCTCTATCATGAACCTCACCATAAAATATAACTGTACAACTTCATGTCTTACTCTTGGAAATGAACACGATATTAAATTCCTAAGGGCAACTAGAATCATCCCTATATATATATCTAATCTCAACTATGCCTTCAATTTAACTCTGCATTCCTTGAATTCATTGGACAGTGTGTCTTATTCCCCATGATAGCACTTCCAGAACTCTTCTACTCAACTCTTTGCCTCCAACTGTGCATTTCTCATTTTCAGGGATTAATGGTATTAAAGAGTGCAGGCCATCATCTTTGAGTAAATTCATACTCATACTCAAATTCTTTCCCTTTAACCATTCCTTATCTTCCTCTGTGTGAGTAACCTTTCATTCTTCATGTCATGCGTTATCATGGAGCATCTGGACTTTACTCTTTTTTTTTAACCAAAAACACCTTTATTTTCATCTTCAAACAACAAACTGTTAACTTTTTGTTCTCCCAATATAATCATGATTACCTTTCAAAAAATTGGGCATTTACAGTGCATCTTCAAAGTGTTTCCCTTTAACGGGAAGCTTAGCATCATAGTATCTTAAGATTAAAAAGTTTTTAAAAATCCATATAGTGGCTTTTATTAACAAAACAGAAGCAAACATAAGTCAAGAAAATCCACTCATACTTCAGGTCCTTCTCCAGGAACCAACATTTTTATGTTATTTCCATTTAGCAAAATCTTATCTCATTTAGTAATCCTTCATCCTTCTGGTGTGATTTCAAATTCAGTGACATCTTCCAATCCCATAATAACAAAGTCATTGAAACCTAGAAGGGTGCCAACAATTTCCTTGTCACTCCTCATCACAATGTGAATTCTTGATCCTATACATTTGTCCACAAGCTCTAGAGGCAGCAGCTGCGACGGGTTTGTAGTATCATTCCCCGCCATGGCTACGCCGGAAGTTGGACTGTACTCTGGAGGCAGTTTGACACCATTGCCCACACAGTTTTCTCCATCAAACTGTATTTCTCAGGACCTACAATAGTCTCCTCTCTAGGAATTTATGTCTATCAGTATGAAATTTCTATAAAATAATTAGAGTAAATAAATGGAAGGCAAATGAAACTTCTATGGCCTCTCGGTTTCATTTCATCTTTGTCTTTCTTTTCAATAGCAAACTCTAATAGACCTTCTCTTTCCTTCACACTTCCTAGTGGCTTCTAATTTTTATTGATCTAGATATATGAAGCAAATAAGATGGATATGTAGATGAAAGATGAACTTAGAGTCATAAATAGGAGGGACAGAACATGATGGTGTGAAAAGACAGCATGTTTGCAGGGAACTATACTTGTTCTTTTTTGGTGGTTGAGTGGTTGAGTTATTCATTAACTAAATTCCTTCTGACTACTTACAACCTCCTGTGACAGAGTACAACTTCCTTGATGGGGCTGTTTTTTGTTTGTCTTTCTGTTGTTTATTTGGTTGGTTTGATTGGCTCTAATCTTTAAAGAAAGGAGTCCTTGTGAGCACTGGACTTGTCAACGTCAACACGTTCCACAGTCAAACACACTGAGCACTCCTCCAGAGAATGTTGAGACTTCCTGCTCCCATAAAGATTTACAGTATCAGAAATGCTTAAGCCACTGTGTGTTAAAATTGACTAGAGATAGTGGGCTTCTGATGAAATCTTTTTAGAAGTAGGTGCCAGGGTTGTCTCCCACATCAAAAATCAAACCGATTTCCATCCAGTAAATTCCAATACATAACAACTCTATACTGTACAGGGTTTCTGAGACTGAATATCTTTATCGGAGCATATAGCCTCATGTTTCTCCATAGGAGTACCTGATGGGTTTGGAAACTTATGGCCAGTAGTTTCAGCATGTATTTTTTCTCCCACATCAAACTCAAAAACTCCATTACTGCCATTGGGTTAATTCTGACTCATTGCAACCCTACAAAACAATGAGGAACTTCCCCTGTGGGTTTCCAAGCCTGTAAACGGTGGCCACAACAATGGGCTCATGTGTAGGAACAATTGTGAGGATGGAACAGGACTGGACTGTGTTTCCTTCTGTTGTGCACATAGCTGCTGTGGGTTGAAACTGACTTAATGGCACCTAACAACAACAAATCTTTAGGGGAGCAGGAAAACCTCATCTTTCCCTCATGTTGCACCTGGTAATTTTGAACTGCTAATCTCAAGTTAGCATATCAATGTGTAACCTCCTACACCAGGGTGCCTAGAATTAGTTGTAGGGGGATAATACAGGAAAGGACTGAAAATTAAAACAACGTACAAAAATCTGGAAAGCCCTTAATTTAAAGAAATTAAATTAAGCATACTCAGTGGGTTATTGCAGCTTCAGGGAAGTCAATAAAACCTTCACAAACATCTGGAACTACTAAAGGATGAACAGAACATAAATTCAGAAAAATGGGTACATGAGACATCAGTTACTATGTCTTACTTTCTTATAGTTTTCTATGACTATCACTTCTCTTTATTACATGATTCTGCCCTACTACTGAATATAATAATCCATGTCTTTACTACAGAATGACTTATTTCAGTTTAATTTGCCACTATCCTAATTGAATCTTTCATGTTATATTTCACATAAAATGACAGTGAAAAGAAATGTGTAGCTTAGCCATTAATAAATGAGACACTGGTTTAGAGATTCACAAGTAACTGCCTTCAATCACTTTCAAGATCTGCTTTGGGCTTCCTGAAATATGACTCTTTCTGTGAGCATTCTTTTTAAAAATGGGGCAAAAATAGACGACCATTACAAAAGATGGTCCTCTTCTGGAGGGCCAAAAGTGTCTGCTTATATGTACATCTTCTCTGAAGTCTTTAAAACGCAGTCCCAGAACAGACAACAAAGGCAAAGCATGTTTTCACAAAATTACCATCAGTTAAGGGGAAGGGATTGGAGAGAAGAAATATCTACTTTTACCCCATTTCTAAAATGAATGGCTGGATTAGTCTACCATATTATCTAGTTTTTAGATTAGAAAGCAGATGACATTGCTCTGTGATAAGTAAACAGAGATTCAGTTTTATTTCCTGTGGATACGGAAAATGACAAAATTAGTTATGTGCTTATAGGAACACTTGAAATTTAGCTAGGTGGGTGGCTGTAGAGGGACTCCTGGGTAACGGTGGGACCCTAGACTTTTCATAGGTAGCAGATTGGAGGGGGAGAGAACAAAGAAGTGATCTAGAGAGTACAGACAAATCTCTAGGTATTCCTATGGGGGGCTCCTGGTTTTTCTATTTCACATACAGCACACAGTCTGACTCAAGCTCAGCATTTCATTTTTGGTCAAAAGAACAATGCTATGCTCCTGCACAGAGGGGAGGAGTGGTTATCATTATCTTTCTGTCAAACTCCAATCAGGAGTTCACACCTACTAGAAGCTTTGAGAGGAAAAGATGAGGCAGTGTGAGTTAAAATTGGTTCAGTGGCATTGAATTTGGTTTTATTTTTTTAAATTTTTTAATCTTAAAACCTTAAATCAATTTATTGAGGCTCATACAATTCACCACAATACATAGATCAATTGTGTAAAGCACATCTATACATTTGTTGCCCTCATTATTCCCAAAATTCGCTTTCCTCTTGGGTTCCCGGAATCAGCTCATTTTCCCTTTTTCCCTTCCCCCTCCCTTCCTCCTCCCCTCTCCCCCATGTACCCTTGATAATTTATAAATTATTATTGTATCGTATATTACACTGTCCGGCGTCTCCCTTCACCCACCCCTCTGCTGCCCGTCCCCCAGAGACGAGGTTATATGTAGCTCCCTGTGATCAATTCCCCCTTTCCACACACCCCTTCCCTCCTGGTTTCACCACTGTCACCCCTGGTCCTGAGAGGTTCATCTGTCCTAGATTCCCTGAGTTTCCAATTCTCATCTGTACTGCTGTGCATTCTCTGGTCTAAACAGGTCTGCAAGGCAGAATTGGGGTCCTGGTAGTTGGGGGGAGGAAGCCTTTAAGAACTAGAGGAAGGTTGTGGGTTTCATTATTGCTATACTGTACCCTAAGTGGCTCATCTCCCCACTACCCCTCTGCAAGGTATGTCCAGTTGTCTAGAGATGGGCATTGGGTCTCCATCACGTGCCACCCTCATTGACGAGGATATGCGCGTCATATGAATTTGGTTTTCAATAACCTAAATACTATATTACCCCTTGTCTATCTCTAAGCAGATACAACCAGCAAGTTAGATTATTCTTCTGAGCGGCCCATTCCGCTGCTGCCATTTCCTCTGAGGTTATGGGATATGGAACAGAGCAGCCAATCCAGATCCAATCAAACACAGTCTGCTAGTCAGAATGATTTCAGTTTAATGAACTAGAAAACTATAGATATTAATTAACTTGGTTAATATTTCACATTGGCTTCTTTATAAGTGGATATATGCTGTTTTTCTTAAGGGGCAACTGGAGTTTCCTCCTTAGGTGCACTAAGTCAAGATAGCTCATAGAAAGCAAAACCAGTTCTATACATAGGGAAGGGGTAGCTGAGTATACAAAGGGAGGTCAAAACATTTTGTAAAAACGTTATTACCTTTCACTTCTATTTTTCTGTGAGCTTTTTGAAGCTTCCTCAAATGTCTAGTTGAAGGCTGATCTAACTAGGAAGTATGTAATTAGAGAAGTTTATTTCCCTGATATCTTTCCAGAAAAATTAAGCTATTTTTCTGCCACTATGTCATCCTTTTCCAAAGCTATTCAGAGAGACTTTTTAAAGTACCATGTTGATACAGACTCAACTGAAAACATCTAAATTTTTTTCTGATGAGGTTTATTTCCTCCCTAAGGCAAGATTTGGAACAGCTCTAGAAGTTAATTTAAGATAAAATGATTAATAAACAAATTGAATTAAGACTATATACCTATGCTTAAAAAGTTAATAAATGAGGTTTTCAGGTGCATTTTAAAAAATTTTATTTAGCAGTTATCGTAAGGCAAGATGGTCAGGAAACAACATTCAATACAATTCCAGAATATGTCTTAGTAGTCAAAACTTTGAAAGGGATAAATACAAGTGGCTGTATGGTCTTATCTAAAGTGCCCTGTTCTCCTCAGCTGATACACAGCTTAACCTACACTGATGCCAACCCTTTAGACATTTGGTAATGGATTTATCTCCATTCCACTTCAGAAACAGCTCAGTGACACACAGGAAGGCTAAGAAGCATTTTTAATTACTTCAGCATTTCCAAGAGAAATATTCTATGCCATATGATAACTGTCTTTTAGAACAGAAGGTTAGAAGTGCTATAAACTAAGTAAGGATTCACAAAATATATGTGAAGAGTGTTTCCGGGAAAAAAAGGAGAAGATATTTACAGACATTGAAATATGTTTTCCAAATTAACCAGAAGAAAATTGTACAGAGTACATAATGGGTGCTTCCTAAATTTGTATGCCCCTAGAGTAACTGAAAAAGGCTGAGGATAATTTTGAAAGGACATTTAAAAGTAAATCTATTTATGAATCTCTTCAACATCACTGAGGTTTTCTCCACCCCACCTCATTTTCCCACCTGTTTGGAAAGATATGTCCCAGCAGCTTGTCTAGAACTTAATATCATTCCTAACCACATAAAAATTAAATTCCAGCCCCATAGCGTCAGATCTCTCGGGAATAAAATCTAGCCACATACAAAGAACATAAACTGTTTCTTCACGAGATGGCAGGTATTTGGCACACGATTTGAGTCATTTAAACAGTTGATTAACAGTATCACGTTGGCAAGTTCATTGTTGATAACCATTTTATTTCATTTGCCTATAAAAAGTTGAAGCACACTTTCTGTTTTATAAACTTGGTATGAATCAAATAGGATTTTTTTTAAAAAGATCCATAACTAAAAGCAACGGTTGGGTGCGGGAGGGTAGTCATTTAAGGGCAAGAGATTTTGAAGCCC